GGGGCCGGGGCGTGGGGGAGCCCCGCCATCCAGTCAGGGTAGCAGGCTGCCGGCTGGGGCATGCAGTCGAACGCCGCGCTGCGCCGGCACCGTGCCTCCATGCCGGTGGGAGACTGCGCACGCCAGTGCCTGGCCGGCCCCACAGAGCCCTGCCGTGGAGGAGAAGCAGCCCGTGAGCAGTGGCAGCGCCACGTGGCCCCCACGCGTGCTGATCTCACCCCTCCCCAGAGGTATAGAATCATAGAATTGTTCCCGGCACCCAGCAAGACCTAACCTTTAAAGGTCATCTATTCCAAAACCCCTGCAGTGAGCAGGGACATCTTCAACATCATCACGTTGCTCAGAGACCCATCCAACCTGACCTTGAATGTTTCCAGCGATGGGGCATCTACCACCTCTCTGGGCAACCTGTGCCAGCACTTCGCCACCCTCATTGTAAAACATTTCTTCCTTATAGCTAGTCTAAATCTACCCTCTTTTAGTTTAAAACCATTACCCTTTGTCCTGTCACAACAGGCCCTGCTAAAAAGTTTGTCCCCATTTTTCTTATAAGCCCCCTTTTAGTACTGAAAGGCCGCAATAAGGTCTCCCTGGAACCTTTTTTTCTCCAGGCTCAACAACCCCAACTCTCTCAGCCTGTCCTTATAGGAGAGGTGCTCCATCCCTCTGACCATTTTGTGGCCCTCCTCTGGACCCGCTCCAACAGGTCCATGTCTTTCCTGCACTGAGGGCTCCAGAGCTGTCCCCACCATCCCATGAAACCCTGTAGCATACCACGTGCCCCATACACGTTGCTGCCGGTACTCCGCACTGTCGCACCGTACAGTTCCCCTCCCACACTCAAGCACTCGTCCCACTACCCCTGAGCCCCGGCACATCCCAGCCTCCCCCTCCTGCACCCACCTGGGTTTGCCTGCGGCTGCGGGGTGCAGCCCGCCGGACGGGGCGCGCAGCTGTGGGTGCCGGTGGCACACTGGCAGGTGGAGCGGGATGCTGGCCATTAACCTGGTGACAGTCGTGACGCGCGTCCTGCCTCGCACGTGGCACGTGCGCCGGGGATTCATCCTCAGCCCTAGGCCCAGGCGAGCTCTGGGCAGACACGCCGGGCTGGAAAATCACCTGGCTGATCCTGAAAGCAGCCATTGAGGCCTCTGCACCTCCCTCTCCAGGAATCAGGACAAACGGGATCGGGGTGCCACGGGGCCCCTTGACGCTATACCTGTGGGAGTGGCTGCACAGAGCCCCCGGGTGCCCACGCGCCCGCTCCAGAGCCATGCCCCAGGCTGGCTCCCGGTGGGACCTGGACCCCCTCGGTGATGATTGCCATCGTCCCCATCAGAGGGACAACATCCAGGCAGGGATCTGGAGCAGGGAGTCAGTGCTTGCCAGCACCCCCCAGGACCCAGCGAGGGTGTCCCGGGAAGCCGGCTCCATCCCTTCGCTCCTCGGGCACCGGGGGATGCTTCACACCGGTGTCGCTCCCGGTGGGCAGAGCTGCTGCCACCGCGGGGGTGCGACCCCCACGGCTGCGGCGGGGTCCGAAGCTGGTGCCGAGGAGGAGGGGGGGGATGACTCACCTCCTCTCCTGGGGACAGAGCTACAGGGCGCACGCTGAGCCCGGTGTGTTTTGGGGAGGAGCCGCCCGGCAGGTCGCGGACCCCTCCGAGCATCCCTCCAGGGACACATCCCCTCCGCCTTAGCGGGGAGGGAACAGAGCTCCTCCCGGGGACGCGTTCCACCCGTGGGCTCTGCCACCGCAAGGACACCAGGCGCAGTGACAGAAGGGGACGGACGGACGGACGGACACAGCAGCAGACGTCTTTCGGGGGTCCCCTGGGGCAGCCCCCC